TTGGTAGCCCAGGCTGGCCTCGAACTCACAGAGATCCGCCTGCCTCTGCCTCCTGAGTGCTGGGATTAAAGGCGTGTGCCACCACCGCCCGGCCAAATCTGTTCTATTTTCTTATAAAAGCAAATTTCTGTTTATATCTATTATCACAACAGTACTTAAAATATTTTCCTAATCAAGTTAGAGTTGTTCATTATTAGAATTGTGTTTATGTTTGCATTTTTCACATGACCTTGCTCAGCTTACTCCGAATTTTATAGAAGTTATAAATGAACCCAGAAAGTTGTTCACTACCATTTGTATAGGAAACAGAAGGGCCATGATGAAATGGACAGTAGTGGAGATCACTCATCGCTACTCCAGAATTCTTACTCATTCAACATTCCCTCCTTGGTTCCAGACTCTAATTCATCAAATTTTGACATAATTTGGTAAGAATATAAGCTTTGATTCTTTAACATTTTGATTAATTAGTTATTGTAGATGTAACCAACCATCTTATTAAATAAGAAACACAGAACCAATGCAAAGAAGAAAGCCAAGAGGTCAGAGCTAAGAGCTAAAACCTTACCCTTCCTCCTGCGGTGGTCCTACCTCTCTGAAAGAGAGCTACTTCCTGTGTTAAAGTCTTTATATAGACTTTCTGTTCTGCCTTCTCATTGGTTGTAAACCCAACCACATGACTGCCTCATCACTGCCTGTCTGTATAGACCTCCAGGTCTTCTATGGTTGGTATTGAGATTAAAGGCATGTGTATCCAGTGCTGGCTGTATCCCTGAACATACAGAGACTTACCTAGCTCTGCCTACCAAGTGCTGGGATTACAATCGTATGCCACCACTGCCCAGCTTTCCTATGGCTTGCTAATAGCTCTGACCCCCGGGCAACTTTATTTATTAACATACAAATAACATTTTAATACAAATAAAATATCACCATAAGTTATGTAATTTATTCTAAGGATAGCAAGTGCAACAGTCTTATACCCTGTTCTATTCAACTTGATAAGTTTATTTTTTTAATTACTTTTTGAGATTAAAATAAAATTACACCATTTCCACTTCCCCCTTCTTTCTCCAACCCTCCCATGTACCCCACCTTTTTCTCTTTGAAGTTCATGGCCTCTTCTTTTCATTAATTGTTGTTACCTCTACATTTGCATCTGTATATATGTATATATTCCTAATATTTGGCCTTTAAGTTTACTTAGAACTTAAGATGCGGAGAAGAAAGTCTTGTAAACATTTTCTTATCCTGTTTATAGCTATGCTCCTGAAAGTGATGGTAATGATGGTTTCACAGATGCTTGGCTTATCGGATCATGAGACCTTGTCTCTTGAAAATTATCATGGGCCATAATGTAAAGTTTAAACTTCCAAAATGTAATAGTTTTTACATTTGACTTCAAACTAATACTGCACTTAATTCTATTGTGCACAAATGGAGCCAAAATAATATAGGGTATGCTTTCCTTCTTATATTAAGTTGGTGTTTTCATTTCTATAACCTTGGTTGTGAGCTGGAATTCAAAGTCAGAACCCTGGCCACAAAACCTATTCTCTTTCCACACAAATTTAAAGTATTTTTTTACCACAAAACTGTAGAAATTAAAATATCTTCTTATTGAGTGGGAATTTAAAATCTTGAGCTGGTAGCCATGATATCATAATGTTTAGTACTCTGCTATATTGGTGAGTGTGAGAGAGAGAGAGACAGATAGAGAGAGAGAAGAAAGAATGAAAAATATGGAATATGCTTTTAATTTTACCTGAGATAAGCCTTATCTGAGACAGATTTTAAGGCACCTGTTTCCTTTATTGGTTTAGCATCCAGGAGACACAGTTGATCAATTGCTGAGGGTATTTAACAGTAATGGATTTTATCTTAAAGTCTGGTTTTTGCAGAGTCCAGACCCTTTTGGGTCTGGGCATATAAAAACCTCTGGACTGTTACTGTTCCTTACCACCTGGGTATACTTGATGGTCCTTTGCCTCTGACTCTATGGTGATCCTGTAACAATTAGCTGAGTAGTTTATTAAGAGAGGGAACCAGGAAGGAAAAGCTTGTGGGGTGAAAACTCATTCTTCTGGGATTGGTGACAAGGCAGTGGATCCTGGTGTCCTCTGGAACTCGAGAGACAGCAGGGCCCTGTCTGTGTCACTGTGCATGAGGAGAAGAGGCATTGCTGACCAGTCTGGAGGGAGGCACATGGAGGGAGCAAACGAAACAAAAGCTCCTACCTTAGCTAGAACATCTCTTTCCATTGGGGCACAGGGCAGGTTGGCACAACTAAAAATGTGTGGGTGAGAGGGCTACCCCTAAAAATACAAGTAAGTGACAGGAAAAATGAAGGTGGGAGCCAGAGTTGGGCAGTGGTCTTTTGGAGTCAGAGATTTCTCAGGTTCATATTGCATGGCAAGGAGCATGTGGGCAGGAGAGAAAGGATCAAAAAAGGAGGGTTTAGAGCCTAGGTAACAAGCTTGGGGATAAAGTAACTCTTTTTATTTGCCCTTTCTCTGGCAGACATTAGACAATTCCTGTGAAATATCTGAGTCCAAGGAGCTACTAGGTGGCCATTTTTATTGTCATCTAAGGAATATTTAAGGCATTTCTCAGAGGAGTGAGACTAAGAGGAGGAAGCCATATGTCCCATGACTTCAGCAGAGAGAAAATATTTTTTAAAAAAACTGAAAAAAAACAAATGTGATCCAAGACCACAATCTTAGGCTTCCCTGAGATCAAGGAGGGATCGGTGGATCGGCACAAGTTACCCAACATTTCATCAAGAGAAGGGTAAAGGTCAGCATATTCAAGTCTCAGCACCAATGCTAGTTTTATGCAGTGCAACGTTGTTCATTAAGTGGCGCTATTTACCGAGGTACAACAAAACCCACTATAAGAGTCTATAGGAGAAGGAAGGGACAGGAAAGGATGTGCTTAGGCATATTTGGAAGACATGTACATAAGAGGGAGGAAGAAGAAGAAGTGGGGGGAAGAGTCTGTGACCCACGTTTTATGGATCCCCTGAACATGCGCATATGGGCTCACATAGCTACAACCTGCATGTACATAAATTGCACGATCATACTGCATGCAAATTACACGACCACACAGTGCACAGATTATGTAGGATGTAAGGCCCTGTGAGGACCAAGCCTCCTGCCTGGCTACTGGACAACATGTGTGCGGCCACGTAGTAACAGCAGGGGCAGGACAGGAAAACTTTGGACTACATATGGTGGGCCAACATGGGGCAGGAATTTCCACATAAGACCTAAAAAGGCTTAAAAAGGGACTCTAGACACACAAAAACAGAGTCAAGCACAGCTTCTTGGTAACTGTCTTTATTCTGGTAGGCTCTATTTGCTGGTGGAGAGCAGAGGCATGACTCCTTTAAGAGACTGCTTCATGGCTTGGTGGCATGGGCAAAAACAGGCAGTTCTTTTAAGAGGCCCTGCTGCCAAACACTTAAAAGGTGTATATAAGTGTCAGGCAGCGTGCTACTCAGTGGCAGCATGGACCCAGAAATATCCTAGAGTTGATACAGTAAACATGGCTCTCAGAGCTGGAAGTAAACATGCCACCAACATCTGATTAGACCTCTAAGGGAACCAAGTGGGAGGAGCCAGCATCAGCATGCCATGATTTAAGTTACACAATAGTTTGATGTTGTTTGCTCACACAGACAAGAAAACATTACAGATACATATGAATAAAGATGTAATAAAACCTCTGAACAGGCTATAGTCATATATATATATATATATATATATATATATATATATATTAAGAGAGAGAAGAGAAAGAGTATATACAGTTTTAGATTTAAAATACCTCATTTCTTCTATAATATTTTAAGGTCATTTTACCCTACTCTATATGTGTACATTAGAGAGCTACCATTAACACTGATTTCATTTCCTGTTTTGCTATCTGAAAGATCTGTGTCAGTTTGGGGTAGTTTCAAGTAAATATTTTCAATAAATGGCATTTTAAGTTTTTATTTATTCTTGAATGCCTCATAATCTTTGATTAATATAAAAAATTGTAAAGTATGTGATTTTTTTCCCACCTGCCCACAAAGTGTATGATTTTAAGCAGGGTGGATTTTTTTTGTTTGTTTGTTTGTTTTTGCTTAAAATGTTCCTGAGTTTCTTTGTAAGATGCACTCAGGTTACTTGACTGTCAGAAACCTCATGTTTCATGTGGTCTCCAGTCTATAGTTAATATTCTAAGCTATTAAAATGCTACTCTTTTTTTTCTTTTATTTTATTTTACAATAATATTCAGTTCTACATATCAGCCACGGATTCCCTTGTTCTCCCCCCTCCTGCCCCCCTGCCCTTCCCCCCAGCCCACCCCCCATTCCCACCTCCTCCATGGCAAAGCCTCCCCCAAGGACTGAAATCAACCTGGTAGACTCAGTCCAGGAAGGTCCAGTCCCCTCCTCCCAGATTGAGCCAAGCGTCCCTGCATAAGCCCCAGGTTTCAAACAGCCAACTCATGCAATGAGCCCAGGACCTGGTACCACTGCCTGGATGCCTCCCAAACAGATCAAGCCAATCAACTGTCTCACCTATTCAGAGGGCCTGATCCAGTTGGGGGTCCCTCAGCCTTTGGTTCATAGTTCATGTGTTTCCATTCGTTTGGCCATTTGTCCCTGTGCTTTATCCAACCTTGGTTTCAACAATTCTCCCTCATATAAACCCTTCTCTTTCTCACTAATTAGACTCCCGGAGCTCCACCTGGGGCCTAGCGGTGGATCTGTGCATCCAGATCCCTCAGTCATTGGATGGGGTTTCTGGCACGACTATTAGGGTGTTTGACCATCCCATCACCAGAGTAGTTCAGTTCCGGCTGTCTGTCGACCATTGCCAGCAGTCTATTGTGGGGGTTTCTTGTGGATTTCTGTGGGCCTCTTTAGCACTTTGTTTCTTCCTTTTCTCATGTGGTCTTCATTTACCATGGTCTCCTATTCCTTGTTCTCCCTCTCTGTTCTTGATCCAGCTGGGATCTCCTGCTCCCACAGGCTCACTTTTCCTTGACCCTCGCCCTTCATTACCCCCACTCATGTCCAGGTTGTTCATGTAGATCTCAGCCATTTCTCCGTCATTGGCCTGGGATTGCTACTCTTGCCAAGTAATTGCAGTGGTTCTTTTACTGCTCTTGTCTGTAAGCTATTAGCTGGACTGGATAACTTTTAATTAACATGAAATTGCTTAGAAATCTCAGAAAAATAGTTTCTTCATGTGGAGGGATGTGGCTGTACACACCACGCTGCTTTGGTCAACTACCCTTCCAATGGTTTGTGTAAAACAGTTTCAACTTTTCTATTTGATACTGATTTAGTGATTAAACCTATTTTTTAATCATCCCCAGCTTCCTCCTAGTATTTCTTTTTTTTTACACCTCATCTAACTTATTGCCTTGCATGTAACATGAGAAACAGATGCACATTGACTTCAATAGCTTGGAACTGGACTATATCTTTATGGCTCATGTCTTAAGGACTTGTCCCTAGCATGGCTCTGTGAGGTGAAAGCAGAATACCCAAGAGAGGGATCCCAGTTTGCAATCAGGCTATTGCACACAAAAGAGAAGACAACTATAGCCCCTCTTCCCTCTGTTTTTTCAAAGCCAGGCAGGAGATGAATACCTTAAATTTCACAATAATCTGATTTTTATACCTGTTGAAGAATATCATTTTAAGATGTGTTGCATTTGTTTATGCTGTGGAACATTTGCTTAATGATGCAGAGATGTGTTGCATTCTTTTATGTTGCATTTGTTTAATTCTGTGAAGATGTGTTTCTTTGCCTGTCTAAAACACCTGATTGGTCTAATGAAGAGCTGTATGTCCAATAACAAGGCAGGAGAAAGGATAAGTGGGGCTGGCAAGCAAAGAGAATAAATAGAAGAAATTTGGGGAGAGGGAGATCAAGGAGCAAGAGAAAGGAGGAGAGGAAGACTCCAGGGGCCAGCTACCCAGCTACACAGCAAGGCATGGAGAAAGAACTAAAGAAAGGTATACAAGAATAGAGTAAAGATAAAATCCCAGAGGCAAAAGATAGATGGAATGATTTCAGTTAAGCAAAGTTGGCTAGAAATAAGCCAACCTAAGGCTGGGCATTCATAAGAAAGAATAAGCCTCCATGTGATTTATTTGGGAGCTTGGTGACATGCCCCCAAAAAGCCAAAAGAGTAAAAATAGCATCTCTACATATCCATATACCTTTTAAAATACTGGCTTTGGTTTCATGACCAAATACTTTAACCTTAGTTTGTTCACTTTATATAGTATCCTCATATTTTTTAAAAGTTTATATCACATTTCTTTCATTGTCCTGAGAATTAAGAACAATTAATTTCTTTAATTTCAATCAGAATATTCCTTCAAATACAGTTCAAGTCATTACCTACTAAAATTTCCCTAGCCTCACTGATTCCCAATTCTGAATCCTTTCAGGACATAGAATCTTAAAGATAAAGTCCATAGACAAGGTCTAGAAACATAGTGTTAATTTTTCACCATTAAATGTGTGTGTTTGTGTGCATATAAACAAAATATTCTTTACTATTTTGCTAACATTTACCCTATTGAGATTACTCTACCTCTAGCACCTAATTGTTGATAATGAAGTGTATTTTCTGATAAGCTATGGTAATTTATGAAATTATTTGTGAGCCTCCACAATTTTTAGCAAAAATAGGAAACTTTACAATAAAAATAGTTTTTTTTTAGATTTGTTAACTATACATTCATATGGTATATTCATTCATACATTAAAAGATACTTTACAACAGGTGAAAAAACATATGAGTATAGAGTACATGATATGAGCTTTCAACATATCACACACAAACACACTCATACCTATATATACACAAATTATTCATAGATTCTGAACTATAAAAT